AACCAAAATTGGCCATATTTGTTGAAGCTGGGATACATCAGTGTTCACTGTTCCTCTCTCTCTCTCTCTCTCTCTCTCTCCCCCTCTTCTTTTGGGTGTGTTTGAAAATGTCCACCATTGGGAATTCCCTTGCAGTACAGTGGTTAGGACTCCGTGTTTCTACTGCTGAGGGCCCAGGGGTTTGATCCCTGGTCGGGGAACTAAGATCTCACAAGTCGCGCAGTGTGGGAAAAAAAAGTCCATGATCAAAAGAGAAAGAAAAGAAAAAAGAATAGTGCCCTTCCATCACGCCCAGTACACTTCCCTGCTGGACACACTGAGAAGCCCCTAGTTTGCCGTCTGCCTCCCCTGGAGTGGGGGTGTGGGGAGAGCCGGGGTGCTCTCTCGCTTGTTCACAGCTATATTCAAAACACCTGAACCGTGAATGCCTCTCATCCGGCTGGCAGCTGTGAGCCCGGGTCTGCGTGGCCCCTTGAGCCTGAGCTTTGAACAGCACAGTGATCTTAACCTTGGAGGGCCATGGATTAGTCTCTCCGAGGCCAACAGCTCACCCAGGAAGATGTGGGTGCCATGGTGGGCAAGTGGTTGGGTCAAGGAGAGGGAGTGGAAGGGACAGGGCAGGGTCTGGAAAGGAGAAGCCCTTCCCTCTGCCCTGTCCCCTAGGGCAGCCCGAGCTCATGTGGACATCATTGTACCTGGCACTGCTTTTGTAGGCTCCAAATACCAAGTCCAGCCTGAGCCAGGGTCAGAGGTCGCTGAGGGAGGCCAGGGCCAGCAGGCGGGACCCACCAGGGGCCCAGGAGCCTTTCAGGAGAAAGGCAGGTGAGGGACAGGGCTCCCAACACCCTCAAAACCCTCAGCTTGGTTCCCAGACATCATCACCTGAGACAGGTGTGATGAGCACCCCTCCACGTTGCTGTGAGCCCCTCCAGTGGGTGCTGCCAGGCACAGGGCATGATCCCAGCAGGGGCCAGGCCCTGGAGGGCTCTGGAAGTTGGCACGGCAGGGGCACTGGGCACCACTATCATGCTCCCGAGCAAAGGAGGTGTGAGCACTTGTTGTCTCGAACGAGCTTCCTGACTCCCATCTGCGTCCACTCCAGCCCCAACCCCTGAACCCACCGTGGGTCCCCAGGCTGTGGAGGGAAGGTGTGCCAGGGTCTTCCTAAAGCACAAACAGGCCATGGCGTGCCGGAGACAACAGCTCTGCAGTCAGACAGACCTGGGCTCAGCCAGGTTCTGCTCCTTTAGCCGCTCTGGGATGGCAGGCAAGGTACCACATGCAGCTCAAGGTGCCTCAGTTTCCTCACCTGTATCATGGGCACAAGGTCGGGTGACCCACAGTGCAGACCAGGGCAGGTGTCCTGTCTGCACCCCACAGTTCCCAGCACCGTGGCTGCCCAGGGGCGTTCATCCACGGCTGTGCAAGCTGGCCCTGCAGGGTGCTCGTCCCAGCCGCTGCTTCCCCGGGCCTCCTAGGTGCGGGGCCTGAGGAGACCTGAGGCTTTGCTGTTGGTGTTAGGGAGGCCAGAAAGGTGGCTCTGTTTCCTTTCTCTTCCTTTCTCGTGGTGTACTCTGTCCACGGAGCGAGGCTATTTGCTCGAGGGAAGAAAGGGACTGGCCAGATTCGGTGATATGAAGGCACCTGGTTCCAGGAAGGTGGGAAACAGACACACTGGTGTGCTGTGGAGTCACCTCACCTGTCACACCTGCAAGCAGCAGCCCCCACCCTGCCTTGGGGAGGTCAGCTGGTGCCCCCTTCCCAAAAGGCCCTCCGTGGGGACAGACGCAGAGGCTGCAATCCCCTCAGAGGTGCTCTCGCACCCCAGCCCCCAGCCTCCTCCACACCTCAGGGGTGTGCAGGACTTCACACCGTGAAGGCAGTCTCATTCCAGCCGCTCTGCAGCCTGGCTGTGTGTGTGAGGAATGGGGTGGGGGGGGGCCCTGGAAAGGGAGAGCAGGTTGGAGGAGCCGCGGAGTCTGGACCAGAGCAGTGACGGGACTGGGCGCTGCACGGGGCCCAGCCGGTGACCCTCCCCCTTTTCCAACCGTGCTCCCCCCTTTCCAACCACGGCCGTACACACTGCAGTTTCTCTTCAAGGAGGGAAGGGGCTGCTTCTTCCCTGGTCTCGGACTGCCTTTGCCCTCAGGGCTGTTACTGGTCTCCAAAAAGAGCTCCCTGACTGGACCCCAAGGAGGGCAGTTGTGAAGGGTGGCAGGTGGCCGCCTTCAGAGCACAAAGGAGTACTGGGGACAAGGGGCGGGGGTACGGCTCAGGGGTCGGGCGGCGGCATCCTCTTCCCCAGCTCCTTCACCTGGTCGTGGCTGGACTCCAGCGTCACACCTGGAGAACGTCACCACCATCAGCCACTCGGGTCGCTGATATTTGCAAAGGAGGCTTTCTTGGTGTCACAGGCTCTAGGACTGTGGGTCTGGCCCAGGTGGCAGACCCCTACGTTCAGAAACTCCCTTCTGCACTCTGGGTGGAGCCATTCCCCGGGCTCCACTCTCTCCACCTCTCCCTGGAAGCCCAGAGGTGCCCACAGGCAGCTCCCAGCCACACATGCTCACGGAGTCCCTGGGGTCCTGGCCGAGGCTGGGCAGATCCCTGCCACCCAGGATGTGGGGCTTAAGCCATGGAACAACCACGTCACCAGCAGTCACCATGGCAGCCACCTCATGCAGAGGACCACACTGCAGGGACCGGCCTGCACTGCACAAATGTCACACAGGAATACGCACCAAGAGGTCAGCAGACAAACATTTATTAAGCACCTACTATGCACCGGACCCTATGCAGGGCGCTAGGAAAATGGAGTCAATGCAATCCAGCCCTCGCCCGGAAGGAGCTCACAGTCTAGCGGGCCAAACCTTCAATCATAATGAACAGCCGCGAAGGTGCATTTAGCTTCACAATTGCACGATGAGCTTTTATGTAAGTTCTCCCAACTGTCAACACCCAGCAACACAGCCACATTGTTTTAAAAGCACATTGGCATAAATGTAAACACAGTCACACGATTGAAAGGACGGACAGCGACCACCTGTGACAATTCACAGTCTGTGTTTCAGAGCCAAACTTTCAGCATTACTTATTTCTTCCTATTAGGAAGGATACAAGTTTTGCCAATTTGCCGAAATGGTGGTAGAGATACAGGGTAGTTCTATGGCCCCCTGACATCACGCGCTGGTGCAGCCGCCCTCGACACGAGGGGTCCTGAATCCTTGCCCTCTTCCCCCCCCCACACCACAAATCTTCTGGTCTCCCCTGGAAGAGGGCCCCAGATGTCCCTGGGCTCTTTCTCCCGAGCTCGTCAGATGGGGAGAAAGGACCACTTCCCATGAGTCAACCACGCTGAGATCACTCACACCTGGTTGAGCCCATGGGTGACACCAGCTCAGACCGGCACACAGCACAGCGCGCTCAAGCCCACACCCTTCCTTATTTAGGGACCAGCTCTCTGGTCAGTCTCAAAACCTGATGGGGTTGGTGTCACACAGGAACAACTGCCCTGGGAGCTCTGCCTCTGCCCCGCCCCTCCCCGGCTGCACGGGATCCATCAGCAGTCCAGGTGCAGAGGGTGGATGGCCCTATTTATCCCACTCACCCCTGCGTTCTGAACGGGACAGTGAAGTTTGGGATCTGAGAGCCCTCTGTGCCTCTCTCGAGAGCCCCCTTCACCAAAGAGGAAAAACACAACCCTACACAGATTCGGTTGGTGACGGTTAATTTAGGAGGATAAGGGGTTAGGAATCTGGTGAAGAGATCCAAGTGGACCCACCTCTGGGTCTGGGGAACAGGAAAACCAGCCAAAGGCTTGGTGTAGTTAAGCCGAGGAGAGGGCGGGCAGACCATGAGGCTGAGCGTTCAGCGCTGAAAGGTTGGGGGCGTTCAGGACCCCACCGCCTGCCTTCCTTTCCTGGGGCAGGGGGAGGGGAGGCTTCTCTTCCCCTGCACACTGGGCACAGCCGGGGCACTTTGTAAAGGTCATGTTAAGTCTCAGCTCCTCCCCTGGGCCCCCCAGCGTGGCCTGTCTTGGACAGACAGAGGCTTACCAAGCGAGTCAGCAGGTACATGTTAAAGGTGCTTCTGACCCCATTTGGAGGGCACGGGTAAGGGGAGGGGGCGAGGTGCCCTGCTCACTGACTTGGCCTCGGTCTGCTGGCCCAACAAAGCCTGCCCTGACCCTGTTCCAGCCTCTGGGGCAGCAGCTTTCTGGCTCACACCCAGGACCACCTCTTAGCCCTCCTCAAGGTCGCTCCAGGAGGCCGGATATCCTGCTAGCAAACCCCTTCCCCCAATGACGGCCCAGACGGAACTCTCTTAAAAAAAAATAATTTATTGTCAACAAAGGAGATATATACAACAGGAAAAGGGGCGAAGAGGAGAGTGTGAGTGACGGAGCCCCCAGGTAGGCTACTCCAGCCACCTGCAGGGATGGAGCAGGAAGAAGAGGTAATGGAGGCCTCCTGGTTTAGGAGCCGAAACGGGTGGGGGAGGAGAGGCGTCCCCCGAGGTAGTGGGACTCAGTTCAACACCGTCACGACCACCTCTTGCGTAAGGCACTGTGCCAAGGGAGAATGGCGGGGGGCTGAGAAGGTGGGAGGAGGTCGGGGGACAGAAAGGTCTGGGTCAGCAAAAGGATAAGTGGGTGTTCTCCAAAGGCCCAATGCCCTACCGCACGACAGCCCTCGGCACCCCGTCCCCCTCAGGGCCTGGCCTCACGCCTCACTCGGGGAGACATTTTCCAGCGTCCCCGAGTCATGGCGGGTGCTGCCCACCTTCCTCTCCTCCATCCTGCCTTGGCACCTGGTTTTACTCTCCATCAGGTGGCCGAGCTGGGCAGCTCTGAGTGATAAGCCGAAGGGTGACAACGCCTCCTCTCCCTGCCCTGAAGAGCAAGAACCTACAGGCCACTCCCTGCCTCTGGCTGCCCCCCGACAGTGGTGCTGGATTCCGACAGAACCGCGGGCCATTCTGGGCTGTCACCTGCTCCCACACCCTTGGTGCCCTGGGGATGCTTGGACCAGTCTTGCAGGAGGCTGACTGCCGGGGGCTCCTCCAGCCGCACGCGGATAACCTGGAGATCCAGCGTCCCGCGAAGCCCCGGAGGGGGAGCTGGGCAAGGATGGGAGCAGAGAGAGAGTCAGGGCCCTCCAGACAACGCACCTTGAGGATGTCCCCCGAGGGTCTCTGTAAACCACACCCCCATTTCCTGGCCTTCAGTTCCATAGCCCAGGACCTGTGGTCTGAGGAGAAGCCTGGGGACAGTGGGAGGCTGTGCTCCTGGATCATCCAAGGACCAGCACCAAACGCAAGGGCATCGCGCCTCCGCAGGCATCAGCGCAGGCCCTCCGCAGCCTTCCTCCCTCATGTACTGTGGCACACGGACGCTTAGTGCTGTACTCCGCTCCCCTCAACTACCTTCAGCTGACTCCGTTTCATCTAGGACGTACTGGGCACCCTAGCCTGATGGGTTCTGCCTTGTGTGGGCAGAGGTGGTGGGGTGGGGAACACCCCAAAGCAGAAAAAGACACGACTGTGCCCACAAAGGAGCAACCAGGTGAATATGCAGGGCGGAGGAGAGAGCACTGGACAGAGAGTCCTGGGTTAACATTCAGCTCTGCTCTGGAACCTCAACCAGGCCTTCATCTCCCGAGTCAATACCTACCACGCAGGGATCAGATGTCCAACTTAGCAGCGTGGAGGAGCTACTCACAATGGACAAAACCAGGCCTTAAGACAGGGGAACATGAACGGCTGACAGCCACTGTTCAGGTACCAAAATGTCTGGTTTGGCACGGGCACACGCAAAAGTTCCATCAAAAAACAAAGCCAGAAAACGGTGACTGTAACTGTTGTGGCGTCTGTCTTATTTGTGGTTTTCTTCTGCACTGTTTCTAGAGACCCAGTGATTTAAAATCTGGCAGAGAAAACAGGTACGATTTTGCTGCACTGTTTGCCGGGATTTAAAATGACTCGATGGCTGCCACTGGGTCGTGCGACTGAACAAGTTCTGCTTTGTAGTCACATGAGCTGGTTTGTCTCCCTGACAAACTCTAAGCTCCTCGAGGGCAAGTGGAGCCTACTCCCTGGCTCCTTAATTCAACAATAACTTACTGGGCAACTATACTGTGCCCAACACTAGCCCAGTTGCTGGGGGTTCCCCAGAACATGGAGCAGGCCAAGTGGCCTTCCTGGAATTTACATTCCAGTGGTGAGAGCCAATAAACAGGATGAACAAAGCAAGAATGCAGTGTGACACATACAGACAGAAGCAAAGTAAAGTACACCAGGGAAGGGGACGGGGCAGCAGGGAGGGCCTCACAGGGCTGGCGCGTGAGCAAAACGCACAGGAGGCGAGGAGCCAGCGGCGTGTCTAGCTGGGGAACAGCATTCCTGACGGGAGCAAGAGCAAATGCAGATGCCCTGGTGGGCAGAAGAGGGGAAGATCCTGGTGTGAGGACCACTGGTCTCCACGAGGACTCTGACTTTTATCTGAAGTGCGACAGCGACGGTGCTGGAGAGCTCTGAGCAGAGCAGTGCCAGGATCCCACTTGTGTTTCAACAGGGGCTCTGGCTGCTGTATGAGACCGACCACAGAGGGCAAAGCTCAGAAGCTAGGAGACAAGTTCAAAGGTTGTTAAGGAAGCTTGGATGAAAGTAGCAGCAGTAGGGGTAGTGACAGGGGTCAATTCTGAGCATCTTGGAGGTGGGGCTAACAGGATTTGCTGATGGACGGATGTGGGGTCTGAGAGAGACAGAAGATGATGACTCTGAGGGTTTGGTCCAAGCAAACTGAAGAACGGGGCTGCCAGCTTCCTGGGTAAGGGAAGACTGGGGGCGAATAGAGTGGCTGGAGGTGAGGGGAGGAGACCGGGGGTTCCGTTCAGAAACGCCGTCAGAAACTCCGAGTTTGGGGGATCTTTTAGGCAACCAATCAGACACGTCATACGGGTAAGAGAGAGGCTGGAACCGAAGGGAGAGGTCTGGGGTGGAGGAGACAGGCGGGACTGTGAGCACAGGAACTGTCCTTCAAGCTGTGAGCCTGGACCGGATCACCCAGGGCGTTGAGTGCAGACCCTGACCCACGGTTGGGTCATTCATTCATCCACCAAATACAGAAGCAGCACCTATTCTGTGCTGGGCACTGGGGATATCACAGTAAATGAAACAGGCAAACATCCTGACCCAAAGGAACGTATGTTCCACAGATGGGAAGAAAAACAACCATAGGATCCCACTTGGGGAGCTGGGAAAGAACAAGCAAGAGAGGCAGGTGCAACCCAGGCACGCTGCTGCCCGCGAGGCCAAGGGCAGAAAGGGTCTCCAGGAAGGAGGGAAGGAGGGAGGGGTTCCTTGTTTTTGCCAGGTCAGGAAAGATAAGGACTGAGGACTGACCACCAGATCTAACTTTATGGAAGTCAATGGCAATGTTGCCAAAAAAGCCATTTTAGTGTAGGGTGGTGAGCATGAGTTTGACTCAAGTGGCTTCTAAGGACAGACTGGAGACAGTGTAGCAGAGCTCTCCAGCTCTGCTGCAAAGGCTCGGGGATAAATGGGACGGTGGCTACGATGGGATGAGGGGGCAAGAAGGGAGAAAGAACAGCTTTGCGTAGGCTGATGGGGAAGACCCAGAGAAAAGAACAGCTCCTGGTCTGACAGAGAACTGATTCCTGGCCCTCATTGCAGGCGGGGAGTCGCATGGGTGAAACACACCTGCCCAAGGCTCAGTTTCCTCTTCTGTAAAGTGGACATAATAATCCTTTATAAGGTGGTCCTGTGGATTTCAGGAAAAAATACATTAAAAGAACTCAGTACATTGGAATTAAGTGCCAATTCTTCCTGATAGCAGGGAGGGCAAAGGGGTGGGTGGTGGGGAGGGGTGCTTCAGGAGAGCGAGGCCTGAGGTGCGGTAGAGAGATCTTCTTTCAGAAGCAGTGCGTGAGCAGAGCCCCAGGCCGTCAGAGAGCAAGCCAAGAGGACTTCTCTGTCCCTGGGACAAGCTGCAGCACCCCAACCCCAGAACCGCCCCGACTTCTCTCCTGGCCCAAACTGCTCTGCTTCCCCAGCTTCCTCCCCTCCCCTTCCTCCACACGTGTGCATGTGTGTGTAAATGTGTACACCTTCTCCAGGGGGTGGCTGGGGCCCACTTCTCTCGTTTCTCACTAAGGCTTGTCTCTGAGCAGAGACTGTGGAAATGTCACCACCAGGATGACAAGTGAAGGCAGCCGCCATCCACTCATCTGTCAAAAAATCTTCCCTGAGGGCTTTCTTGGTGCCAGGCCCTGTTCTAGGTGCTCTCTCTCTCTCTCTCTCTCACACACACACACACACACACACACACACACACACACAGGCCCCGTTCTAGGTGCTGACACCCCCGCACCCCCACACTCCCCCACCCCCCCCAACCCCCCAGCAGGACAAAGAGGCTTTTTTCCACTATCTGCACACACACACACACACACACACACACACACACACCCCAGCAGGAGGCTTTTTCCCACTGTGTGCGAGTGGGCCCTCAGGGCTCACCTCCTCTCCTGGCCAGGTCCCCACCTTCAGCCTGGGAGGCCCCTGAAAGTCCAGCAAGTCGTCCCTGACTGCTTGACACACGTATCCATCAGGTCAGCTGACCTGACCACAGTGACTCCCCGCCCCCCAACTTTTATATCCTTGATTTAAAGTGGTAGGATCTTTACTCAAATAAGATCTTTGAAGAGTTTCAATAAATAAAACAACTCAAAGTAGAGACATTCTGGTTGAAGCCTCACAGGTTTCTGGGAAATCTGAGCTTTGGGGACTTAAAACCCCAAACCGACCTGAAACCCCTGGTCTGGAGCCTGTGCTCGGCACAGAACCATCGTGGGCACCACACTATTCTCTATTTGCTGACTTGTACGCTTAGGCAGACTGTGAGTTTCGTGGGGACAAAGGCTGTGGCACTCCTGTCATTTCCCATAGCTGGGCTGCGGAACACTTGCTGCTGTGTCACTTAGTGCCTCCTGCAGTTTCTGGACTGTCTCCAACCTCCACAGGTCCCAGCCTCTGCCGGGAACACCTCTCAGCCCTCTCCATCCCTCTCACTCATTCAATCAGCTTGCTGAACCCCAAATTTCAGGCTTTGCCCACTCACCCCAAATAAACCTGAGATCTCAAGGATGCCCTTCTCACCTATTGGTCACTCCACACAGGTGGGGTTTGGGCACAGGGTACCCCAGGGTCAAAATAAAGCCCCCACTTTCAAGAATGAAACCAGAGGACTCATCAGCCAGTGGAAGAGATCAGCCATTTAGAGCAGGGGTCCACTGACAATACGAGGGGGCCCGGGAAACACTCAAGTCCAGGCAGAGCACAGTCCTGGGGAAGCAGGACTGGAAGGTGACTCAAGCTGAAACCTGAGACAGTTACAACCTCACAGGGGTGAGGCCTGCCTCCAGACTAGAAAAAGTGGTAAAGAATAAATACATGAAAGCACACGTGCAGAGACGTGCACAGAGCTTCGGAAAAGGCCTGAAGGACGCAAGCCAAATTTTTGACAGTGGTCACCACTGAGTGATGTGGGCTGAAGTGACAGGTTTGCCTTTTTCTTTAGGCAAAAAGTACACCTCCTTTTTGAGAGCCCTGCTCTGGGGAGCCTCCAGCACCCCGTGCGCCATCTTTCTCAGGGCTCCAACTCCAAACGCCCATTTCAGGCAGGCGGGACGAGGCACTCTCTGCGTCACACATTCACTCCTTCAAGAATCACTTTCTGGGGCTTCCCTGGTGGCACAGTGGTTAAGAGTCTGCCTGCCAATGCAGGGGACGCGGGTTCGAGCCCTGGTCCGGGAAGATCCCACACGCGGTGAAGCAACTAGGCCTGTGTGCCACAATTACTGAGCCTGCGCTCTAGAGCCCACGAGCCACAACTACTGAGCCCGCGAGCCACAACTACTGAAGCCCACGCACCTAGAGCCTGTGCTCCGCAACAAGAGAAGCCACCGCAATGAAGAGTAGCCCCCGCTCGCCACAACTAGAGAAAGCCCGTGCGCAGCAACGACGATCCAACACAGCCAAAAAAGAAAGAAAAAAAAAGAAAAAACATTTTTTGCGTCTGAGATGCTGCGAGCAGGGCCTGGCCTGGCGAGATGAAGAGAGAGAGGAACCAGGCTCAGCCCTGCCCTGCTGGAACACAGGCCAGTCTCATCTCAATTCTGCTACTGCTAGGTTACGTGACTGTGGTAGCAGGATACCGGTCCCCCAAAGACGTTCAAGTCCTAATCCCCAGGACCTGTGAATACGGTATCTTACATGGCAAGGGAGAATTAAGACCACAGATGGAACTGACATTGTTAATCAGCCAACTTTAAAATAAAACAGAGATCTGGATGGTCTGGGTGGGCTCAGTGTAATCGCAAGGGCCTTTAAAGGGGAAGGAGAAGGCAGAAGAGTCAGACCCAAAAGTGGCATCCTGAGAAAGACTGCACTGGCCACGGCCTGCTTTGAAGATGGAAGGAGGGCACAAGCCAAGGAACACAGGTGGCTGCTAGAAGCTGGCAGAGGCAAGACTTCCTCCTTTAGGAGCCAGAAAGGAACCCAGCCCTGCTGACACCCTGACTGTAGCCCAGTGAGACCCGTTCCAGTCCTCTGACCTCCGGGACTAAAAAGTAGTATATCTGTGTTGTTGTAAGCCACGAAGTTTGTGGTAGTTTGTTACAGCAGTCTCAGGAAATGAATACAAGGACCGTAGAGGAGGAACCATCTCTCTGAGACTCAGTCGGTCCATCTGGAAAAGATACTTTCATAAGGGCCAGATGAACTGTATATAAGTTTCTTAAAATCGGAGAACATGATAAAAACACAAGCGCTTACTGCTATTATTAGACGTAAACTGAGCTGAGGTGTCTGCTGAGTGCTCGCCCCGTCTATTCTGCTATCGGTCCCATCTAGGCCCCTGGTCCACCGGGGCCAAGGTGGGCACCTCAGGCTCCAGCTGGAATCAACCTTAACTGCGGTGATGGGTGTCGGGCTTTTGGGGAGCACTGGCCTAACCCAACCTACCAACCAGCCAGGACACTCCCAAGGAGCTCACAAAAAAACTCAGCTCTCTGGCTGGCTACTGTATTTAAATCCACCTGCCCTCGGCCCCTCTCCCAGGGGACTGGAGCACCAGCCACCTCTAGCCTGGGCTCTGCTGCCAAGCAGCCTCGTAGAGGCCAGACCCCAGGGATGCGGCCTTCCTGACCCCGCACTTGTCAGCCCCTCTCACGAGCTCACCTGGGGAGGGGCTTTCCGGCTGGAGAAGACCTCCTTCTGCTACTCTCCCCTCTTTGGGCGAGTCCTTGCTGTCTGAGGCCCTGAGCTGGGTGTGGGAGAAGAGCTGGAGGACGAAGCCAGCGGGGAAGCTGCCGTCGGTGAAGTGTCGGACCTCGGCGGGAGCCGCAAAAGTCTCGGTGGGTGAGCTGGGTGAGGGGGGATCTGGAAGGGAGGACAGGATGGAACTGTGAGGTCAGACTCCCAAGGGCTGAGCCCATGGCCTCAGCTGAGGTGCAGGTGCCCTCTGCCACGCATTCCCCCACCCCCCCAGGGTCCTAGCTTTCCTCCTGGAGCCCACACCTTCCTCGCCTTCACCTGGGTCCGGGTCCGGGTCCAGGTCCAGGGTTTTGGTCATGGGTCTGCCTCTTTTCTTTCTGACCGGCTCCTCCCCAGGGGGCTCCTTCCATCTCTGACCACGTGGCTTCTTGCTTACCGGCTCTGGGACAGGGGCCGCTGCAAAAGACAAGACCTTTTTAAGAGGCCTGATTGCCGTAACCACAGGGCTGCTGAGGGTACCTGCCCAGCAGCCTCTCTCCACCCAGATGGCAAGGCCCATGCTTCCCCTCCCCCCAACTCAGCCTCTGAGGCTTTGGGATGACTGACCAGGAAGCTCCAGAGGGCGGAGTCCCCTGGGCCGGCTCCTTCTAGGGAGGGAGGGGTTGTCCTCGGAGTCGAGGAGAACGACAATCTCTGCTGGCATTTCGGGGTCCGGGTCGGAGTCTGGGTCCACTTCGACCTCCTGGCCTGAGTCTGAAGGGGGCAGACGCCAGTGAGCAACAAGAGTCCTGACTTTTCCTTCCCCCTCCTCCCCTCCCCCAGCCCAGCTACCTGAATGGGGCGGGGACGGCTGCTCGGCCCTGAAGTCCTGCAAAAGGGCCACCCCCTCACTCCAGGCCTCCAGGATATTGCTCTTCTCGGAAGGGCTCAGGTCCAGGGTGTGAGGGTGCTGCTCCAGGATGTGGGCGCGTGCCGTGTCCGCCGAGGGGGCCCGGATCTCGGCCCCACACACCATGCACAGTGCCCGCCCGCTGCCTCCCGGGCTGTTCCCCACCAGGAACTCCTGCTCCCAAGACACCTGCTGCCTGGGCTCCTCACAGCCATCGCTGCCTGCCTCTAGCAGGCTGGGCCTCGGCGGTGGGGTCTTCTCCTGCTGGGCCACTACGGAGGGAGAGGAGGGGGCGGGTACTGTCAGTAAAGGTGCCCACAACCAACAATACAGAGAACAGGATTCCCCAAACCTGGTGGCATATGTAGGGAAGGAACTTTCCCACCTAGAGTCTCTTTCTCCCTTCCCCTGGAGCCCACAAGGCACTAGCCGCGATAAACACAGCCTACATGCCTCGGCATCCTGCTACCTCAATCTAGTCTCCGACCACAGGTCCAACAGGCATTTCCACAGACTGCGTTCCTGCATGTCTACGGCCTTGGCAGCCCACCAGTCTGGCAAAGTCCTCTACTTCCTTCATGGCCCCGCTCAAAACCTCAGCCCTGTGAAGCCTTCCTGACCTCCCACCCCTGGCAGGTGATTATATCCATATGCGACTACCAGGCCACGGCAGCGAAGCACTTCCTTGAGGACAAGAATGGTAAATTTTGTCATCTTACTGTCCCCGCAGGGCCTGGCACGTAGGAGAGGAGACGCTCAATGAGCCTTCTCGGGTCAGTGAATGGCATCCATGCCTGTTCCTCCACTTGTTGAGGTCCCTTCAAGAGGCCTCCCATCCTGTCGGAAATAGCCTCCCCTGCCAAAGCCTTTACAGCAGTAACCTAGCTCGTCCCTACTGGTCGACTCAGCACCTGTTCCCTGTGCACATGGACCATAAGCTCCGACAGGATGCGAACCCTTCTCAGCTCAGCAAAGGATGCTGGCTCAGACCCACGTTAGCCTGACAGCTCAGGGTTTCTGATCCCTTGTGGCTGCACCTCCCTCCCACCTGAGAAGATGGAGCGAAAGACAAACATGGGAGACCCTAACCCCTGGGGACTACCTGGAAGAGGTGGCATTTGAACTGGGTCTGAGAACCGGCTTGGTCTCAGGTCTAGCTCCAAGGCTGGGCTGCACCCCGCTCAGATGTGACTGTGGGCAGGAACCCCTTGGCTGCAGTTGGGCTTTCTTTCCCACCACTCCTCGAAAACAGCTCTTGTCAAGGTCACCAATGCTAAACCCAGCGGTCAGCTCTTCAACTTTGTCCTTTGACAGATGGCTTCTTCCATCTTGATTTTTGTCCCTTGGACTCCAGGGCACCACCTTCTATTGGTTCTTCTCTTACTTCACTGGAGCTATTTTTCGGGCACCCGTGCCAGTCCCTTCTCCGGAACAGAGCCGTCTTCTCACCCAAGGCTTGTCTGCCGTCCCTTAGAAAGCTGCCATCTGCCCCACCTGAGCTCCCTGCTCCCCTCACTGCTCCATTTCCTACTCGTTCCCTTTGTCTCCTGACTGCACTGTAGGTCCAAGACAGCATGGATTTTTGATCCTTCACAACTGTATCTCCAGCACTCGGCACAGTGCCTGGCATGTAGTGGCATTCAGCAGTGTTTGATGAGGAATGACTCAGTCTCTAAACTGGAATCACTGGAGCATTCCACAACGGTCCTGGGACCCCATCTATATCTACCTCCTTCCTCTGGTGGTCTCATCCCAGTGCCCGCCTGCTGACAACTCCCATGTCTATACCTCTAACCAGACTCTCCCAGGAAATTTAGATTCACATGCCTTACTTACCATCTGACATCTGTGCTTGAATGTGTCATAAACTTCTCAAACTTGCCATGTTCAAACCTTAACTCCCCACCTCCCACAGGCCTGCACTCCAGTCTTTCCATCTCGGCAAATGGGAAGCCCATCCTTCCAGTCGCTCAGGCCAAAAACCTTGAATTTGTCTGTTTTTCTTTCCCACCCCAAATCTTTCAAGAAGCTTCTGCTTCAGGACCTTTGTACTTACTATTCTCTCTGCCGAAAATTCTTAACCTCCAATTATCTACAGGGTTCTCTCCCTCGCTTCCTTTGGTCTGTGTTCAAAATTCACCTTATTAGAGAAGGCTTTCCCGACCACTTGATATTCCAAATGAAACACCCTCACTCTTTTCTCCTTACTTTGATTTCCTGTTCTCTGAATCACCTGACATGCTATACATTTATTTATCTTCATTTATCTTTGGTCATTAGTATCTACATATATGTTTCAGAAGAGCAGAGTTTCGACTTTCTTTATAGATATTAGCATGCCTAGCCTAAAACAGTGCCTGACATATAAGAGGTGCCCCCACATACTTGTTGAATGAATTCACTTCTCTGGGGAAGGAGGATGCTCTCGCAGGGTTGTTGAGAGGGTTAACTGAGACAGCCTGGCACTGAGCACTCGAGAAATATTAGCAGAAGTACAGAAAGAACCTCTCTTTTGGATTGAAAGCTCTGAGAAGGGTAGTGGCCTCTATTTCCCTCATTTTATAGCACTCTTGATTCCAAAAAGGAGAGGCAGTGCAGGGAGACATCACCATGTCCTGCTGAGGCTAAATGAATGGCCTTGCTCTCAACCTTTTGGGTACTGTCCCCCTGAGGGACGGGGTATCTAGGAATGAAAAGGTTTTGCATTTTCATGAATAGTGTGTCTTCCACTAAGGTGGCTCTTTGTTTTCTTAGGGTTTGCAAGATCCTGAGAACTGGAGAAATCGGTGAGGGAGGAGGGGAAAGCGAGTGCTCCCAGACTGCTCCTCAAACCCCTTCCCGAGGTCAATCCCTTTCTAGAGTGGCTGAGGGCGCCCGTAGCAAGCACTTCTTTTCCAAAACTAGGTGTCCTATGCAACCCCCTTCACCCTTGCAGCGCGAGAATCTGACACCTGTGGCTTATGCAAGCGCAAGGCCCGGGGATGGTGAGGGGGGCGTAGGAAAGCATTCTGCACGGAGCGCCCTTAAAATCCACTTTTTGGCGGGCTGCAGCGGCGCCTGCCTCCACCCACCGAATCACTCCGGACACCAAGGTGCGGGGCCCCTAGCTCCGGCGTGGAGACCCTGCCGCCCCTCGGCCCTCGGCCGAGAACACGGCCAGGCCCCTGGGCCTGCCTCTGTCTCTGCCTCCGCGGCGGGGGGACAGAGGGAAGGGGGAGGAGGGAGGGGTGGGACCCGCCAGCGTCACCTCGAAGCCGTCGTGCTGGGCCCGGGCGAGGGGGCGCTCGGGCACCGGAAGATCCGGAGCTCGCGGGGCGTGGATCGAAGGCTCCAGACCCTGGGCGGGGGAGGGGGAATTCGGGGAGGCCTGAGATTCCAAACCCCGCTGGGGGTGGAACAAGAGAGCGCCAGTACCTCAGACAGAAGCGGGAAGGGGACGCCCGGGCACCAGGCCGGAGTGGAGTGGGGGCGCTTGGGCCCCTGACTGGAGGCGCGGGAGGGGGTACCCGGACCCCCGACTGGTGTGGGGGGGGAAGCCCGAGCCCCGGACCGTGACGCGGAAGTGGGATTCCCCTCCCATTCTCACCTCTGAGCATCGGCTCGGGCCGCGGGATTACGGCCACCACCATGGCCTCCTCGTCGTCCTCCCCCTCCTCGCATTTGAGTGTCACCTCGAAGCAGTCGAGCGCGGCGCCCTCGGCCTTCAGGGCCATGGCGCGGCCTGGGGGGGGCTCTCGGTGATCGGACGCCGGAGGACTGGCGCGCAGGCCTGCGCGCAAGCCGGCGGCCGCCTCCCGCCCCGTGCAGCCCCCTCCCCGCCGCCCGCCGGCCCGGCCTGCGACGGGCGCGTCTGGGCCTCCCCGAGACCTAGAGCGTCGGGACCCCGGGCGGGGAGGGCTCAATCCGGGGCTCTAGCCCCCCGCCGCTCCCTTTTATGGAGGCTCATTGTCGGCGCCCGCCCGGCCTGCCCGCTGCGGGCCCGCCCCCGACTCCGAGCGGCCAATCGCGCGTGGCCCCGCCCCGGGCACGCGGCTCCGTTAGAAACCCCGCGACCCGCAGGGGGCGGGCAGGGCAGCTTGCTTCCGGCTGCCCCCCGGCGCGGGGGTGGGGGTCTCGGGCCAGCGGGAGAGGACCCTGAGCTCCCCCGAGCCGGGAGCGTCCTGAGTCGGCCGGCCGAGCCTGGCGCGTCGCCGTTTATTGAGACGCCAGTTGGGCACGTTGGCTGCACGAAGAGCGCTACCAAGTGCCCCAGGATTTTGAGCGGGGTCTCTCTTGCCTTTCCCTGAACAAGCCTTCCTCCGCCAGAGGATGTACGGGGCGCGAAAAGAACAGGTGGGGGAGCGGAAAGCGCCTTGGCGTGGGAAGAGTAGAGAATGAATTCCTTCCGATTTGCTAGCGCTGTGATCTTGGGTACGTTATCTGTTTTCTTAGACAATTTCATCCTTTATTTCAAAAAACATTGTGGAGCCTTCTGGACAAGGGAATGGAAAGATGAAGAGCCAAGTGGAGTGTTGGGGGCGCGCGTAAACCACCCCGAGGGTTGTGATTTACATTTTTAAAAAGTGAATCCAGAGATTGTGACCCTCCCCACGGGTCACGCAGAAGTCCTTGAGAGCGCCAAGACCAGCGTCCAGTTGCCATGACGCTGCTGCATAATTCTGTTGTGGCTGAGCTTTGACCTCTGTGACATAGAATGGGCATCTCCCTCTGCTGTAGAAGCCCTCGTGAAATTTCAGTGGAGAACATGCCTGACACTAAAAATCCGTCTTAAAATGCCACTGTATTAGACCAGACACAGTAGTAATCAGAATAATGTAGTAGGTTGGGGTGGGAGGGGAGATGTGAACTAGTTTATGTGGACTACAGTATGGTTTTAAGTGAATGATTTTGTTACTTTCACGTGTATCCAGTACTTTAAAGGTTTTACAAATAAAGGTATTACCAAGCCTGTTTAACCTATTTCTATCTAATGGTTGTTCTCTACCCTTTTGCTACAGATCCCTTCCTTGCGCTTCTGCTCTGCTCTGTATTGCCTTGCAGGGTGCAGTTTCTCAGGCTTCCAGGACAGCTGCCTTTCAGGCTTGGGTTTGGCCAATGGGAGACAGTGGCAGGAGACTGCAAGTTAGGAGGGATGAAAAAGCCAGGTTATTTCTTCTCTTTCTCTCTCTTGCTCGGGCTCTGGCAGGTCTCCAGCAGCAGGCGAGGCTCCCCTGCGGTGCCACCTCCTACTGGATAGGCTGCTGTGGTTCCAACTTCCCATGGTGGTCCTCCCCGCCAGGCTCCACTAATTCCATCTCCTCTGTTTGTCCCTCCAGTTAAGGAGTGTGGGCAGCTTCTGGTTTTTGCTAATCTCTGGGTAGCCTCATTGTCTGCTGTGGGGTTTCTCAGCCCTTCCATCACCCGTGTCACCAATTCCCTGCATTAAGTTCTCTGTTTTTACATTCTTAGAGTGGTTCCTGCTTGTGTGGTTGGACCCTGAGCGATGCAGCCAGTATTATACCAGGCACTTTGTAGACATTATTTCTTAGACCTCACAAGTCTTATGTAGTAGACTGTGTTGTTCCCATTTTACAGAGCAGGAAGTTGAGCCTTAAAGGGTTAAATTACTTCCCCAGGGTAATACAGCATGAATCCTATTTCATCGAATCTAGCATGAGCATTTTTCCCTACATGTTAACATCTTTGAAATGGGGGTGCTTTTTCTCTAATGGACATCAAAGTGAAGTTTTAAGACTATCAAAAAGGTGTAAGATGGGGACTTCCCTGGCGGGCCAGTGGTTAGGGCTCTGTGCTTCCACTGCAAGGGGCGTGGGTTGGATCCCTGGTCCAGAACTAAGAAAGTGTAAGATGGCCCTTCTGATATTCAGATAGTGATGATACCAGCAGAACATAAACCATGCTGTTAAAAAAGAAGAAGAAGAAGAAACAACAGGCCCCAGAACAGAGTCATTTGCCCCCATGACAGCAAACCAAGACTTAATTGCATTTTCAACCTCTCCCAGGAATGTGACCTATGAACAGATAATCTGAAATTTCCTCATCAGCACGAGTGAGGTAATCTGCATAAAGACCCCTTCCGTTCCCTTCCCCCCCAAAAGAATATGACCTGGCCTGAAACAGTTCTTTCCTTTTGCTAATAACTTCCCTACCCATCCGTCCTTCCTTCTGTAAAACCCTTCCATTTTGTACAGTTCCGCAGAGCACTTTTCTGTTTACTGGATAGGATGCTGAATCATTAAATAAAGCCAATTAAATCTTCAGATTTATTCAGTTGAATTTTTTTATTTATCAGTGCTTAGAATGAGACATGCTTAGATGCTCAGGTGGGGCCACTTTGTGACCACAAAAATGACTTGGCCTTTCTCTGAGTGACTGGGTCTTTTTTTGTGGTACGCGGGCCTCTCACTGCTGTGGCCTCTCCCGTTGCGGAGCACAGGCTCCGGACGCGCAGGCTCAGTGGCCATGGCTCACGGGCCCAGCCACTCCGCGACATGTGGGATCCTCCTGGACTGGGGCACGAACCTGTGTCCCCTGCATCGGCAGGCGGACTCTCAACCACTGTGCCACCAGGGAAGCCCGGTCCTTTTTTTTTTTTGGCCACACCACGCGGCTTGTGGGATGTTCCCTGACCAGGGATTGAACCTGGGCCCCCCCGGAATCCTAACCACTAGGCCACCAGGGAATTCCCGATTGGTGCTTCTTTACCAAAGATACAACTCTAGCCCTCTGTGAATCCTCCTGCCTCCTAGGTAAGCATTATAAAGATACCCAGTCTGAATTGCCTCTTCTTGACAGCATTTAATCCAGAACTAGTCCCTACTTTCCTAATCCCTCCGCAGAACCGTGGAACAAAAACCCAGATTTAAGGAGATACACACAAGGGTGTCCCCAGGATGCACTCTCCTTACTGCTTCAAGTTAAATAAACCTGACTTTTTTTGACTATGAGTGTGTTTCTGGTGGTCTTTGGTCAAGGGCTTTGACAACCTTAACCAATTTATTTTGCTTACATTTTCTATTTTTAGATATATGAAGAATGATATATGATAAAAATCTACCTCAAGATATCAGTAAGTCTAAAGACCTCTTTTAATGACTATAAAATCCAATTCCAAGAGATAAGAAATCATTGTGTCAGAACTTGGCAGCGTTTTTTGTTAGGGTTGCCTAAAATAATGGTTCATGTTGCATCTTTCCCTAGATAGAATGAAATCCAATCAGTTGCAAAAGCAAGACTCAACTCTGGTTCTGCCAGTTCCCTGGCCTTGCTCTTTCCACTACAGCACCACCACGCTGCCTCACAGTGAACTTTAAATAGTTGTTAAATGAATAAAAAAGTAGATATTATTAGCTTTTACACACACACACACACACACACAGAAACAGAATCCGAGAGGAGTCATTTGAGATCAAACGACTTGCAAGTCACAGCGCGATTCTGACTGCAAAGCTTCCGCTCTTTTCCATCATGCCTGCTGCTGAGGGAGCCCTCTCTGCACCAAGCCTCCGAGGGGAAACTCTGGACCATCTTAGATGGAGTTGTTACCAGTTCCCATCCCAGCTACGTAGTCCGTGCTGAGTCCTTTTTGAAGGAATTGGAATTTTAATTGCTGAGCTAGCCCCATGTGGAGGAGAGAGGGTCGAGATTTACTAGACAGGTGTGTCTGCAGCTTGGGAGTTTGGCCTTGCATTATGAGATTCCTAAAACAGGGGAAGGACAGACTGGAGATAGGAGAGTTGAAAACAATGGCCTCTGTTCCAGTAATTAGCTGCTCCAGCCCATTCCCCGCATCATCCCCTGGGTTGGAGGCCCAAGCTGGGATGAAGCATTGCCTTTTTTTTTTTTAACATTAAAAAAAAAAAATTGTACTTAATTTACAATGTTGTTAGCTTCAGGTGTACAGCAAAGTGATTCAAACTGTTTCAAATTTTATTGTTCAGTATATATTTTTTAAAATGGGTATCGTTGTTGACTTTTATATATTTATTTATTTTTAAAAATAAATTTATTTTATTTTTGGCTGTGTTGGGTCTTCGTTGCTGCACGTGGGCTTTCTCTAGTTGCGGTGACTGGGGGCTACTCTTCGTTGCCGTGCGCGAGCTTCTCTTTGCGGTGGCTTCTCTTGTTGCTGAGCGCAGGCTGTAGGTGTGCAGGCTTCAGTAGTTGTGGCGCACAGGCTTAGTTGTTCCGCGGCATGTGGGATCTTCCCAGACCAGGGCTCGAACCCGTCTCCCCTGCGTTGGCATGTGTCACCAGGGAAGCTCCTATATATATACATTTATATACTTTTCCATGATAGGTTGTTACCAGACGTGGAATGGAAGCATTTCCTTTTGATACAGCTCTTACTGTTGGCATTGGGGGTCTTGGTGATGAGATGGGGCGGGTGGGGTGGGCTGCTGTGGGAAATGAAGCTAGATGATGAGAGGGCTGTTTGAAGGCTAAGAGGAGGGGTGTGGCTTCACTCCTAACTTCCTCGGCATTTTGTAGCTGCCTACAAAAGCCATAATAAATATATGTCCTTCCTCTTTAGCTCAATAATCCTATTACCATAGGTTACCTTAAAGTCATCTGAAAGCAGAAAAATGATAACCTAACAAAGATGTCATAGCGGTCACTGCTTGAACTATTCATTCCCTAGAACTTAGACTGTCATTCCTTGCTGAAATCTTATTCAGTTCTTGCATGTAGCCCGGGGTCCCCTTCTCTTGGTTCCTGAGTCAGTTTCAACACCTCTACTGTGTAACTCGTGCTATAATCACTTGTCAGCATCTCCCAGTCCCTCAGTTTGTGGGTTCCCCGAGGGGAGGTTTATTTCTCATGCACCTTTCTAGTTCCAGCACTGTTCCAGGAGCTATGGTGTTAGCACCAGCTCGGTGTCTACACCGCAAAGATCTTGATCAAACAAAATGGATTTATTGGCTCATGAGTTCAGGGAAGGGCTGAGTGCCTGATC